GCCAGCAGGCTGGCTGGGGAATTCTGAGAGTTGAAGTCCACATGTCTTAAAGTTGCTAAGGCTGAGAAACTCTGAACTAAACAAATACTCCCTTGCCATAACTAGTTGGCATTTTTTTAAATGGCAAAGAGAGATCAGTTTTTGAGCCAGGTCTCAAGCCCGTTAATAGTCTCAACTGGTGCTTATTGTCTGCTTTCTGATGCTATATGTTAACCCCAGGTCTGCAACTCTGTCTTCTGAAAATGCAGGCTCTTCAAACAGACCTTCAGAGCCTGAAAGAAGGGTGAACAAATTTAACAGGCACTGAACATCTTTTGTATTGGGGATTTTTATGCCCCCAGTTTCTACTCAAATAAAACTTTTCAGAAACCAGAAATAGAGATATTTATTGTGCTTCCAGCCAACAGGCTATTGTGGATATTGTCACTGGATATTAAGAATTACAGGGGTCAATCAGCTTAGGTACCTATTCCAAATAAACATGGAATTAATGATATTTCTGATCAGTTTAAGCCAACTAATACTATAATAGAAGCATACTTTGGACATTAAAATTCATGTTGCTGTTTCATCCTGAAGTGCCCTTTTCATGGAAAAATAGTTCCTCGGGATGAATCTGGAAACCCTGTGAACCAAGAGGACAGAGACAGAGAGGCAAAGAAGCAGTTTGAGAAAAAAGAACATCAGCCAGGTTTGTATAGTGGGTTAAATCTGTGATTGGTTTTGAAATTAATTTTATAGAACTGTTGAATGTGGCAAACTGTTTTAAGTGAGTTCAGTAAGTCAGTATAGTTCTATATTGCCATGCACAAACCAACCCAATTTGTCATAGATGGAAATTTGAAGAAATTCCCAGTGTAAGAGACACTGTCCTGCACTGAATTTATGTATGTATGTATGTATGTATGTATGTATGTATGTATGTATGTATGTATGTAATAGACTTATCCCCGCCCATCTCCCCGCAGTGGGGGACTCTGGGTGGTTTACATTAAATTAAAACAATAAATCCAAATGTAGAATTTGCCTGCCATGTACACAAAAAGCTTT